ACAAACAATAACCCAAGTTAAAGAAATATTCAGTTATTTAGCATTGGCAACATAGTAGATATTCATTGCTATCACCAGCCATCTTTATCTTTTAAAAACTTTATAAATTCTCTGCAACTTGTATACACCAACATGCCTTACTGTAAAATTTCATTCTGCAAATTTTGGGCAATACAAAGATAAAAGCACATATGTTGCAAATGAACAATATGTGCATCTGTCTCAATGTTGCCTAAATTTAACTTTCCCGACTCAAACTACAGAAGAAACTTGATCAAATGTGCATTTTGACATATTTGTTGAAACTGTCACTATGTATCTGTATCATATAATGTAGGACACACAATCTGTGAATAAAAACATCTGCCTTCATCTAATGGTAACGAGATGTAACAAATCAGAGCCAGAAGGAGGGTATTACTGCTGTAAATCACAATCTTATGTGGAGCTGCTCATCCTCCTTTTCTTTCCCCATTTGCTCTCTGCTATGCAGCTAGCAGAGACTGTTGTGAATAATCAGGCTACTAAGCATGGCTACCAATGATGGCAAATAGACAGTTTTCCTGGAAAAGTAACTTGTTTCTCCTCTACATGTGCTGCTACATCAGCACATGTAGCAGCAAGTACATGAGGTTGATTGACAGTGCTAAATCTAAAAAATTTTAAAAAATTATGCAGCTGAACAGTTGTGACTGAATTAGTTTTGATCGATGCAGTTCCCTAATGACCAGGTCAGCATACAGAAGTAATGCAGCATCAGATAAATATAAACATACCAAGTGCAGCATCAGGTGTTATCCCCATGCTCTGCAGAAGAGCGTCAGCTTCTCGTCTTTTTTTCTCCAAGTCGGAGTCATCCTGCTGTTGTGAAGCTTCTTTCTGCTGTTGGTCTGCCTGCGAACAGAGAAACATCAAGCATTCAGGACTATTTCAGGAATCAACATTACATTCAGATACTCTTAGACAAAAACGATGCACAAAGAGCTTCATGTCTTGTTCAGACCCTGCTCTGAAGGAAGACCATGATTACCTGCCTAATTTAAACTAACAAGGCAAGAAACTCAGCCGTCGCAGAAAATGGCAAATGCAAAAAGACTGAAGCTCAGTTACAGCAGAAAGCCTGGAGGAAGAATCGTTTTAGAAGATTTGAACATTTCCATAATTGCTTTTCATTTATGTCGTGTACATTGAACTTGGCCAAATATATTTTCCATTTCACTTATGTAGATCCAATGTCGGACTATGCAAATCCTTAAGTCAGAAAATTCATACCTTCTTTCGCTCCTCCTCCTTCCTTCTTTTCTCCTCCCGGATTTGTGCCAAACGCAGCTTCTTCCTTTCGAGTTCTGCTTTCAGTTCACTTTTGTCAGACATGATGTCACAGCTGTGAAAAAAAAAATATATGGCTTAATGGTTTTCTGTTTCTTCTGCGGCCAAACCAGTTAAATATTTCTGATAGCGTTCTCAAAACAAAATGGAAATTTTAGTTTGCATTCATTGCCGTGCATATATTTTTAATCAAACTTCATCTATGTCTAGAAATATACACAACTACCCAACAATTTTAGTACAGTCCTTAGCTTAATAATGTTTTCCATCACTTTTGCACTAAATTATTTACAAATATAATAAACAAAAGAAGCAAATATGTTTGAGTGTGACCAGAAAATAATGCAAATCAAGCTCATCTTACTAATGCAACTCAAGAAGGAGAAAAGAGTAGATGCCATTCATGCACAACAAAACTTTTTTAGAGGACAATGATCGCTTGAGAGGCAGCGCTTTCATAGCCTTGCTCTCTAATCTTTTCTAGCACACGTTACAGCAAAGTGAGAGAATCTGGTAAGATGTGAACCAGGTTCCTGATTATGACAATCCACAACTTTGCATTAAGGTATCTTAATCAGCTACTAATCTAAGTGAAAATAGGAGATATAAAAAAGGGAAAAATATATATTTGTAACAAATCACTTTAAAGAACAGGGAAAAAGAAAAAAAAAAGCCTGACATATAAATTATGACTCAGTTGATCATCCACTGCCTCGTACTTCTATATGAATCATTGTTTTTGTTGGCAGCAACATATTATTGTCTGTTGGTTTGTTTTAATTTTTTTAAAAAGAAGAAAATTAACTCCTTATATTTAAAAACTTATACAAAATAATTACCGTTGTATAACTTTTTATTACATTTTGTGTAGGGAGAAAAAAACAGCAAAATGTACCTGGATGTGCTCACAAATAGTTAACACACTGCAATACCTTTTAGACATAAAATATGACACCGATTTTCATTTGTTTAAATAGCAGAAGTTAGTGTGCGTGGATCTCAGCTGTCAGTACTGATAACTTTAGTTGTTACACTTAATCTATTCTCTATATAATATGCGAGTAGGATATAAGAAATGTTGTAAATACTAAGCCAATAAAATGTTTTCAAAGATTTGTATGAAAAAGTATATATAAAAGCAAAGCATTAAACACATCTTTCAACAAGATACGTTTTGGTCACGGTCCACTCACTGTCGTTAGATTAGGTTAAATGAGCCCCACCCTAAAGCTAAAACCAGGTTTCCATAACTTCTTAGTTCAAAACATTTTTTGACTGATTTTACTTACCTGTATAAACGTTAAAGGATATAATCTAAAACTTGTACAACTTTTAAACTTAAAGCCAATTCATTAAGCGTTGAAATCGAATGAATAAACGCCAATATTCAGCCGCTGGCCTCTCTGCTGCTAGCATTAGCCTTCCTTGTTTTTCAGAATTTGCCTTGTAGCTACATAATGCCGTCCTTTTTTTTTAAATCAGCAAGCTTTCGTATTTCAGATTACATGTAACTTTTTATAGTATGTGTTAATATAGTTCATGCAACAGAAAATGTGACAGTTTAACCAACGCAAACCTGAAGCGACTGAGTTAGCTTAGCTGCTAGGCAACCGGTAGAAACGGTGCTGACTAAAAGGCTAATTCAGATGCCAACACCACTACAAAAAAGTGAACTGGTAAATGATTTATCTTATATCATCTTAATAATAAACCGTGGATAACAAACCTCGAAGTAGACTTCCAACTTGACCACCAAAACAAAACAATTGAGCTGCCAACTCAACTACAGGTGCCGAGAAGGTTCAAATGGGAAAATAGACGGTCAAGCGATTCACAACAGGTGCAGAGAAAGAAAACATTAATAGTTATTGTTTTGTATGGTATTCTAAATAATTAAAAAATAGAATAGTAATTTGTTCAACATTATAAACCAACTTGTTGACAACTTTGAAAAAAATGACCATTATTGTTATCTTTATTTCTTCTTTTCTAACAATACTGTCATAATAACAGCAACATTGATAGATTTTAAGTCTAGATTTAGTCAAACTCAATGACCAGATTCTGTTGCATCTGGAAGCTGTTAAATTGAATTTCTCAGCTCAAGGATAATCCAGGGCAGTTCTGAAGTGGGTTGTGTGCCTAATTGCTGTGAAAAATGTGTGTGCACATGCTTTAAAGGTTAATTCATTCATCCTTTCGTGTTGCTACAGTGATTTTATGGCTAGGAATTCCACATCGATAATGGGTTATGAACCTCCTAATGCACTCCTCTTGCAAGAAAAGTTTAAAGACTATATTTACTTAGTTTATCTTAGCATCTTTGATATGTTTTAGAGAGAAAAAAGTATTTGTAGAACATATAATATCACATCTGGCTCATAACAGTGCTGATTTGACATGTGCATTGAAATTATTGACTTGGGCAACTTTCAACAGAGGAATCATCACAAATCTAAAAACTGAAGCTGATGCTAACATTAACTTATTGTTAATTTTCTATCTATTTGCATGTCATTATTATACATGTCTATAAAAAGCATTTGCCTCTTTGGATGTCTTACCCTTTTAATATTTATACAAATCAATCATGAGCAACATAGTTGGGTTTTTTGGACATAAAAATCTTTAATATCAGAGTAATAACTGATTTCTACAAAATAGTGCAAAAATATTAATGCAAAATAAGTGATTTTATAAATATTTACCTCATTCAAGTCAGTATTCAGTAGTTGCAACTTTGGCTGAAATCAGAGTATGGAGAATGTGTGGATAGGTCCCATTAAGACTTGCGCATTTGTTGTCTTCAAATCGTTTCCGTGTAGCTTTAGCTCACTGATGGTGTCATCGTCTTGATGGAAAATAAATGTTTTCTGAAGTTCTGTAGCAGGTGGAAACAAATTGTCCTCCAGGATTTCTTCATATTTTGCAGCATTTATTTTACCTTCTTCCTCTACAAACCTTCCAGGAGTTGCTGGTGAGAAGCGTCACCACAGCATGATGCTGCTGCTGCCACCACCATGCTCTACAGCAGGAATGGCGTGCTTTTGGTGATGTGCAGCGTTTTGTCTGGAAGGTGATACTACAATCAGGTGGTCTCCATTTCACACCTTGTGAGACGAGCAGCACCAGTTGGCTGGACCTCTGGTGAATTGGGTCAGTCGCTTTAAAAGGGGGTGAAAATTTTAGCACTTATTTTGTGTTACACATTTTTATTTGTCATAATATTGTGGAAATCAGTTTTTACTTTGAAATTAAATGTGCTTTTTGTCACAATTGTCAAAAATCAATTTTTAAAGCCATGATTGATCTGTAAAGAGTAAAACATCCAATGAGGTGAGTACTTTGTTAGCCACTGTATTCCACAGCAGAGACAAAATAAATACAAAGCAAAACATGTTAAGCAAAAAACAATACAAAATTTATTAAAAACTCAGCTGTTGGCAAATAAGTAATAAACAAAACAAAACATCTATAGTAGCAAAAAAAATTAACTGTGGGATTATGATCTACAGTGCATAACTATTCCAATGTGAGCATCTACATCCTGTTCCCACACAGCTCATCAATATTTACATGCACATGTAACAATAAATGTTGGTGAAATATAAGCTAAAATAATATTTTGGTGTGCAAAATAGTTACAATTTAAAGTTTAGTAGTATTTTAAGTTTTTTTTTTTGTATTTTCTAAACAGTGTATGCTGGTTTAACAATACAACCATCTTCATAGTTTCAGTTTGTGTCACTGCTTGGGGTTACCAGTTGGTCCCTTTTTGTGGTGTTGCAAACATTTACAGGGACTCGCATGTTGTGCAGGGACGCATCAGGGCCAAATACAGTGCAAAAATCTTGAAACATCCCTTATCTTATTGGTCTTGGCTTTCAACACATCAGATTTTTAGTGTCATTTCACTAAATGCAAATAGCAACTTAGATTTGTTTATGGTTACCATGCACAATTTGTCAAAGGATATTTGACAATTATTTTGCAGTGTTAAAATGTAAAAATATTCAACAGATATTTTCTGGGAAACTTCAGAGGTTATTTTAAGATTTTTGCACAGAATTTTTTATTCCTGATACAAACTGTCAGGCTAGCTCTCTGATTTATTTACTATTCCTCTTCCTGACATCTCCATCCGTCTCACAACTGGCTCCATCTTCCAGTTCAGACATTGCCGGACCAGCTTTGCTGTTGTCCTCACCTCCCCTGTTGGTATGCAGAGAATGTGCAATCTGGTCACTGGGGCGTTTCCAAGACGCTCGAGTGGCAATCCAGAGGATAAGGGCCCCAAAAACCACCAGGAGGAGTCCCAAGACATTCACAAAGATTGCCTCTGGGGGAGAGTCTTTATACTTCGGGTTGGCCCTGTATGTTAGAGAAATAAATAATGTTACACTCATTTGTAGCAAACACTTACGTATAAACATCTGAATTGCTTAAATACTTACAGGCCAAAGATAAGTTTTTCTGTGATTCCCATGAGAGCAACTGCTATGATACTGGTGAAAAGAAAAAGACCGCTGTAGACATGGATGGGCATACAAGCTGCTCTCCAGGACACAGGTGTAACTGGTATCAGGTATAGGCCGACTCCGAGAACAAGCTGCCCATTCAAGAACAAGGGAAGAAAAGAAAAAAAAAAAGCTTATCAGATGCTTCAGTCATGCAACTTTTAATCCTTGTGTCTTCATGTGGAAAACATAAGCATGAAAAAGCAACTTAAACACTGAGAAAAAAAAATAACCAAAGTGTCGTAATCAATTTTGTTGAGTAGGCTGTGAATGAAAATAGGTCTATTTACCTGCAGACCGTACAGAATAACGGCCATCAGGCCCAGCCAGCTGTGCAGACTGTACATGTTGGGGATCTTGGCAAAGTTGTGAAAGTCAAAAACGGCCACCATGGCAATAATAGCGAAAATGAAGGCTGTCAAGTTCAAGCCTGCATGGATGAACTTCATCATGAGTTTGCTGCACTGCCAGGTCCAGGGAAGCCTGTAGACAATTATGGCTGCAAGAGAGGATCAGTGGCTCCATCAGTGCTTGAACCACATAGAGACTGCTGAGTCATTAAGACTTAGAAAAACACAAATTACTACACAATGTGAAATCGTTTTTGCTTCCTACTGCTGATCTACACTACCTTACAAAATTATTAATGCCCATTTAGGGATTTTTTATTTTCATTTTGTATCATTAAAACCACAAACTTCAATATATTTTATTGGGATTTTTATGTGATAGACAAACACAAAGAAGCACATTCCTACAGATTTACTCTTAAATAATAACAGGTCTTTAACTGGGCCATTCCAGCACATAAATATGTTTTCACCTAAACAATTGCATTGTAGCCTTAGTTGTACGTCTCAGGTTGTTGTCAAATCCTTTGCAGCTTTGAAGAGATTTTCTTCAAGGATTTTTGTAAATTTAACTTTATCCATTTTCACACAAACTCAAGCCAGCATTCCATTCCTGCCCACAGCATGATGCTGCCACTACCAGACTGACTTCACAATGAGGTTAGTGTGTTCAGCATAACGTGTAGTGTTAGTTCCCTGGATCTAAAGACCTTCAAAATTTAAGTTCAAACTGATCAGCTGTCCACTGAACTTTCTTCCACACGTTTGCTGTGTATTGTAGCAAACTTGCCACTTTTCCATAATGGCTGAATTTGCTAAGTACACAACTATGAATTGAAAAGTGCTATGTGAGATGTTCACATCTTAAGACGTTTTTTTTTTTTTTTTTTTAACTAGGTCAGCTTTGAACTTCTCAACTACTTTATCCCAGACCTAACCGCAGAGTCCCTTTGTTTTCAGCAACACTCCTATTGGTAAAAAAAAACAAACTGCATCAGTTGCCTCCCACTTCACAATTAGTCTACTTTGTGTTAAAATTCCAAAAATAAAGCTTAGAGCTGAATCATGACAAAGTATGAAAAGGTTAAGCTGGCATGGACATTTTTTTTCCTTTCAGTTCATTTCCAACACCGACCTCCCCCAAGATTCTGGAGGATAAACAGTCGCGTTCAACATGGTTTCTCCCACTAACTTCCTCTCTGGGCGCCTAAACAGCCACATTCTGTTTTCAGACTTCTTGGAATGACAGTAGTCATCCATCTCACCTGTGCCCTGCAGGAAAATGAAGCCTGTGACGACCAGCACCGGATGCCAGTTGAATTCAGCCAGTCCTCCGTTCCAGTCCAAGCCTTCCTTAAAGTGGAGAACCCACCTCAGCACGAATATTATGGCGACAAACCCGACAGCTCCGGCAGCGGAGAGAGCGAACAGGAATTGCTTCAAATTCTCCATCGCCTTCAGTGAGCGAGAAAAAAAATCAGCAGCCACGGTGAGGAGGACGCGTCTGAACTGCAGCAGTTGTTTTCAAGCATCCAAAAACTATTTCAAGCGGCTGCTCGACAAGAAACGCAGTCACGTGACAGGGAGGCACGCAACTGTTTGGAGGAGCGACGTTTTGTAACTTGCGTACTTACAGAGGAGTCAGGACCCGTAAAAAGCAGCTATTTGTGCTGTGTCATCCTCTGACCTCAGCTGAACACTTAGCCGTTAAATGTTTTTTTCTCTCTGTAAGGCCGACCACAGACACAGAGTCAAGTCTGAATGACACAACTTTAAAAAAAAAAAAAAAAAGCCGTTACAGGCTAGTATTATGAGGGGAGAGATGACTGTCTGCCCAGAGCGTCATTCGATCTTATGAAAACTGTTACATGTTTCAGTTGTTCATTGTAAATCAATGGGTACTGGCGCCAACTAGTGTCGCACTGTGTAACAGCTGGCAAGTAATATATTTATTCAGTTCAATTAAAAATACAGCCAAAATTAATTAATTAAATAAATATAAATAATCTAACTATTGCTAAATTAATTAAAGAAGTCAAATAATCGCATGCTTATTTATTGATGTAATTTTGGCTTAAATGACTCTCCATATTTATTAATCTGAAAGGGGGATTAAATTTTGCAGAAACTTAAACTTCACACGTTTCTCCTAATAGATGATAATGGAAGTGGATCTAAAGAATCCTGTGACTAAGGACTTTGTTTTATCACTGTCAAGTGAAGAGAATCCTCTCGATTGTGTATTAAACTGTAACTTTGATCAACTTTTTAAAAAGTCGGCAAAATACTGTTTGAAATTGTTTGCACTTATGTTTGAATTAAAATTGAACATTTCTAAATTTACTTTGAAAAATCAAAATAAAATGTGTATGTACGTCCATGAGGAAGAGCAAGAGAGAGAAACAGCTTTGAAAAGTATATCATTTTAATATTATCAAAAAGCAATTACATTTTTGTGGTTGTTGGTGATTACAGAAATTTACAATACAGAAAACAGATATTCAGACAAAATAAACTATACAAGTATCCACAAGTTTGCTACTACTTCCAACAACTTTACAACATTGGAAAAAACAAATCACAATATCATTTGGTCAATTCTGTCATTTAGTGATGGTCCTGAGTTTATAAACATGGCAGCAGAACTGGCTGCCCTTTTGCTCAATGTGAACAATGGTGTCTCTGTCAAAGAACAGCTCATGTGGATAAGTCTGAAACAGAGGACAGAAACGCATTAACTCGCACACAACCTGATGTTTATTTCTTTACTTTGGAACCAACTACGTTCTCATTTTGTACCACACATAGCCACTTTTTCCCCAATCTACTGCCATGTGGTACCAGGTAATCAGTTTCTTTTGTTGAAGTATGGACATAATAGTAATAAAACTATTCAAACACAGAACAATTTATATTGAGTGTATTTTATTTTTAAAGGTTTTATATGACCCTTTTCCTACTGACAGAGTGATTAATTAACACAAAATATGTCAAATTAATAAACTTCTTTATATTACAAACCTCATCCCAAGGCTCATCCAGGTCAATCTTTCGCTGTAACCGCCCTGTTTGGTTGTCATGCAGTTGGACATGAGCTCTGCCCTCCTCGCCCTCCCCGTTAGTTACCGCTATGGCCAGAAGGTCGAGTTCATCCTCGTATTCCAGCAACCGAAAGGTCTGAAATATCAAAAGACTGCTCTGAGTTGAACAAATTTACACCTGCTCCAAATAAACTATGCATATAGTCAATATGTTTAAGCCAAGAACAGAAAGTTACCAATGACGTATTAAAAAAAAATCTGTATCAGCTCTGTTGTAGGAGCCATGCAGTACACATTTTTATAGACAGAGCCTCCTAACACATTTTCCATAACATCATGTTTTAATTTACAGTTTTGTTATGAGGAATCTCTAAATTCTCAATATTTCAAAATAAAATTCTGCAGTACATTTTACGAGACGTAAAGCTGTGACCACAGACCAGGTCTAATCCACATCCAAGTACAGATTCATCATGTGATGCTTTGGAACAAATAAAGCTCGTATGACTGGAAACCTTTTTGGCTCAGACAGCTACGTGGCGTTAGACTATGTTTAATTTAGAGATGATCCTTCATCAACTTGTGTTTTCAGAGGATGTTCGCTCTTCTCTAAACAGATTTTGTGCACATGGGATTGATTCAGAGTAAAATATCTGCCTGCTAAACCTGCTGTCTGTTATATATTTCTAGATTCATGGCAACAGCATTAAGATGCACAAGCAGATTTAAACGAGACCATGGTCAAAAACATGTATGTTTTTTGTTTTCGCATAAATTAAACTAAGGCTCTCAGGGGCAGTTATATCAAGAGTACAACAAGTACTATGTCTGTGCGATTTTGTTTATGTCAAGGCTCAGAACAGTCTTGTGGTACCTCCTGCGTTGGATCATCGTCCAGCTGTTGAAATCTCGATCTCACCGCCCGGCCTGAAGACGTGACGGTGACACGGGGGCGCAGCTGCAGAACATCGTCACCAGCAACGCTCAAGACCGTGAGTATTAATAAAACATCTCATATACAGTAAAGATGTTAAATGTTACACCTACGTTGCTTCGATGTGTTGTCAGAGAGTAGTCCTCTAGCACCTCTGACGGCAAAGGACTGTTTAGTTCACTAATGATTTTCAGCACACTTCAAAAGAAAGGAAAGGCATACATGATCATACAGTACGTGTGAGCGACAGAGGAGATAATGCCGTTTTGTAATACCATTTATATTGTTAACCTTGACCGGATCACTCACTTTATAGTGTTCGGTCCAATGTGGATGACTCTCCCTGAACCGGCCGGATGGAAGAAGATAACGTCACTCTCAAGAGAGCAACAGTTCATGTTCTGGATTCCATTTTTTGCCTGATTTCACAAAGATGTGTAGTTAAAGGCATGGTGCAAACCCAGCTCACAGCTGGGCAAAGCTCAACCAACACAGCATCAACATCTTGCACACTTAAATTGGACAATGTGTGACATGCTGTGACTTTTTCCACTATCAACAATATTTTGCTACCATCAGTCGCTTGCAAAACTAATTCACACCCCTTGAACTTAGTCACATTTTGTCGTGCTACAGCGACAAACATTAATATAATTTGTTTGGATTTTATGTGAAAAACCAACACAAAGTAGTGAACAAATGCTTCATGAAAGAAAAATTACAGTTTCATAAATTGTCTAAAAACTGAAAAGTGTGTTGTGCATTTGCATTCAGTCCACTGTATCCTGATATTCCTGAATAAAATTCAGAGCAGTCATTTGCCTTCAGACATCACCTAATTAGTAAATACAATCCGTCCGTGTTTCCCTCAATATAAATCCAGATGTTCTATGAGAGCATCAGAAATTAAATATCATCATGAAAAACAAGGAAAGCAACAGACAAGTCTGAGAGGAGGTTGTAAAGTTCAAAGCACAATTAAGTCACAAAATACTCTGAAGTTTTAAACATCTCACGGAGCTCTGTTCAATTCATCAACAGAAGAGTATTGGGAGCATTCATAAGAATGAATGGGTTGCAACTGATGTTGCCATTGCAATACTTAGCCAGTACTTTTATATTGCAAGATTTTCAAATATTATGTCTAGTCAAAGTCTAATGATACACAATTCAAAGCTTACAAATGTGTACTTTAAAGAGCACTAATCAGGTCCATGTGTATAATTTGTCCCAAATACTGATGAACAAATCATTAACTCATCAGCCAAAAAACAGATGTTGTCCTGCGAAGATAAAGAAAACTCTCTAAATTTACCAAAGTGCTGTCCTTGAGTGAACAGATGTAGTGAGTCCCTCTGTGTTTCTTGTGTGGTGGGGTGTAAATGCAGTGCCAAGGGAAGCCGCCGATCTGGATACCATTGTGAGAGAATGCCTCAAAAAGAAGTGGTGGTGGTTCTGTGAAATAAAATAAAATAAAAAAAACATATTTCCATTAACAATTTGTGTGTGCCAGTTTTTTTTTAATGTTATTTTATTGGTTCTATTGGCCTTTATTTGAAAGTGGTTAGACAAGACAGTGGATAATGTGCTTTACTCTGCGCCACCCAACAATTTATGTTTAACTATTACATTTTTAATTTACATTTCATTATAACAAGAAGGGTTCTTGTTATAAGAAGAGATGGATTCTTTATTTTATTTTATTTTTTTCTTGGTTGGAGGCTGGAGAAAAATTCACTTTTTGTATTTATTCATAAAAAATAAAAACAATATGGCTAACACTGGTGTTTAAGTTAAGAAAATGTTCTGAATATTTGGTATGGTAATGAGGACTGAATTCTATAAAGGCATAATAGATGGAGAACTAAATGAGGGTTAAAGTGACTCACCAGTGATGTGGATGTTAACTGGGATACCAAATGGAACGTCCCCAACGGTTCTGTGTCCCAGCAGGGGACTCTGCTGTCCCAGTGTCAACTCTTCTGTTAGACACTAACAACAAAGACGGTTATTTTTCATCTAAGGTGTTCTATAAATACATTTCACAGATAGCATGTTAATGGAGATCGTTCCAGCTGAACACATACATACTCTTTGGACAATGTGTTCAAGGCTGTACAGCTTCACTGACTTATTGCTGTAAGACACAGCAAGGACACCCTGGGACAAAACCACATCTGTAACACCCCTTCCAAATCCCTGAAATGAAATAATTTCCGTTTTATAACATAAATCCTAAAATCAAGTACACCTATATGATTAAATGAACTATACCTTTTTATTTATCTCCAAAATCCCCACAATTTGCAAGGGGAAAACACGAAAAATGGCCATGTGCATGACTGCATTCTGCGATATACCTGCCTACGGGAGAAAAAAAACAAAACAAAAAAACTACATAGATCTTTGTTAAATATGTTATTAAAAGAAAACAAAAATGTTTAATTCTTAAAGTAGACCCCTTTACTACAGAAAAACTATTGTTCCTTGATTTATTGATTAATTTATTTCAGAACAACAACTCAAGGATGCTTAAATGCTCATTATATTAGGCATATAGGCTTTCAATGCCTGTGTAAAAGTGCAACATATTTTAAGTTAGCTTAAAATAATAGATTTGTACCTGTCTCGACATGGGTGTTTCTTTGTTCTGGACAGATTTAATGTAAAATGTTTCTTGTGAAACATTCCAGGCAAGATATCTACAAAACAGAAATGCAAGGTTTCTAATACATGTTTATAAAATAAAATTAATTATAACCCATCAAAGGACAAAGACATGAGTGTTAAATATACCTGTATTTGTATTTAGGAGAGAGATAAATTCTCTGCAGCTCTTTCCCCGTTTCAGCTGAAATGCGGCAGAGCCAGTTATCTGC